GGATGACGCCATAAGTCAAGTTTGTCAAGGCGAGATATCTCGGTTAATAATCAAGGTACCTAGAGAGTTGCTGTTGGGACAGATCTGTTTACTTAATGCTGATCTACTAGAACCACGCATCAAAACATGATTCTGTTAACAGCGCAACTGGCTCATTGAATAAAGGAAGAAAAATGATCATGGGAAACAAAGGCTAAGCTATCGATTTGAAGGGAAGAGATGGTCTAGGTGAGCTTTCAAAATGATGAAATTGGCCTCTTTATCACAGCATGACTACATGCAGACAAACTAACTCTTTCCTTTAGAGATTAAACGACATGAACTTGAAAGAAGGAAAGAGTTACAGGACATACGGGGAATGAGGAAATTACAATTCTTGAAGAGGAAATTCAGGCGGGATATACCTCTGACAATGGAGTCTGAACTAGGATGATCATTAGTATTCACAGTTCTTGCTATTTGCAGGGGATTGAGAAAGAAAAACCTGTAAAACACTCTTCGCTGTGCTCAGAAGTTCCTTCTTTAAAGGTAGCTTCAGTCTCACACACAGGAATCGATTGTTGAAACTCTTATCAGCATGTCCAGGCCTAGGGGATCAAGGTCTTCCAGGCGCAAAGCTCACACATTCCATATCTTTGTCCTGGCATACCAACAGAGTTTCAAGACCCGGTCTGCATTCATTGATTGACTAGATAAGATAAGAGGAGATAAAGAAATAGCTCTTGGTCCATAGCAGAGTCTCCAAGTGCCAAGAAAGTCCAGCAACAGACAAAAAGACATGTTCCGTCCCGTCACAGGAGTCTGATGACAATTCTATCGTGACATCGTAAGTTATGGGAACTTCACTACGTTCTCATAAAGGAATCGGTAGTGTAAGCTTCCTCGATTTAGTTGAAACAGAGGCGATTGAAAGCAATACCAAAATGACATCAGGGGAGAACGCAAAAACGACTCATACACTCATACCTGTAAAAATCCACTCAGAACTTCGGTTTCTCCGCACTTCTCATGGCTTCTTCTTGATTTTCGTTGGCTCTGGGGTTCAATATTCTTCTCGAATTGATGAAATACTTCTAAATGAGCAAAGAAGATGACAGTTTTAACGGGCTAATAATTAAATAAATAAAATTGATTAAGCGATCCGGAATTCAGGGTTCCCAGGTGAAATTTTCAAATATCAGCACTGAGCGTCGAAAAATTTCAGCACATTGCCCTAAAAAATCAGCACATTTTAAATGCTTTAAAAAACACAAGTTTTAATATAATAGAGGCTTAACGGTTCCCGTGATCTAGCGCTCCATCGGTCAAGTCGTGAAACACTTGTCCCCCGCACCCCGCAGCACCCTACTCCTACCGGCCCCGCCCGCGTCCTCCTACCACGCTTTATCTATGACCTATCGGTGCTCCCTTCTCACTTCTGATTTTGCAGCGCCAAGTTTCAAAGCGATTGCGGTAAATTTGTAAATTGCGTCAGTTAAAAGAGTGAGCTGAGAGGAAACACCAAAAGAATTTTAAATTTCATACTTTGCCTAAATAGCATGAAAGAATTATCATTATTTGGAGAAATGAATGACTGAGAAAATAGATTGTCTGGTTTCGTGTCAAAGGCAAGGACTCATTTCCGTGAGCAACACTTTACCGCTTATCACAATGAAACAGAAGGAAGAACAATCAGAAGTGAGGAGAGATACACGCAAATAGAGAGAAAAATTTCACTAATTTTCAAAATATCAAATACAGGTCTAAGATATTTTTCCTTGCAAAAAATTAATTTAAGCGTTCATGATTTCATAGATTTCACTGATTGCAGAAGGTAACTTCAAGAAAATTAAGTAATAATTGAATGGCTTCAAATATTCTTAGTATACACGGAAGCAGGTAACACACAGTTCCCTGCATTAACTTCTTTTGAACTCAATGATGCGAATCATGAGCCCTGCACGGAAAAAATTAAATTCCTGATTTAACAATTCAATTGCTAAAAAAAGTGACTGGATTATTTCAAAGTAGATTTAACAACAAAAAATTCCTACTTTAACCGCCCCCATGGTTAAATTAGCATAGGTACAATAGCAGTTAAAGTAGCTTTTTTTGGTTGTGAAATCTATGTTGAAACATTGCAGTCACTTTTTTAAGCAAAATAATTGGTAATCAGCAATTTAATTTTTTCCGTGTGCAAGTGTATTCTTGAGGATGCAAATTAAATGATAAGAGTAATTTTGGGAGGGATAATGTATTCTGTATTATGCAAAAAAATGAAAACATTTTCAAATTTTAAAAATTCCAAAAGATATAGATTTTTAAAGACTTCACTAAGAAGGTACAATAATGGACAAACCACAAAGACAGGCTTAAAAAGGTATTGGAAAGGTGTATTCTGCTGATGCTAATTTTTCATGAATCATCCTGAAATTTCTGTGGCAGACCTAACTTAAAAGTTCCGAAAAAGAAATGCACATGACAAAGCAAGTTCATGTGAGCAATAGCCAAGCAGGCGTAATGATATCAAACAATTGTATACATTTCATTAACATTAGATTTACAGTACATAGCCTCACATTACATTGACAATACTTCATTTACATATATTACATTTAAATTGTGTTTCATTACATTTCCACTTAATTTTATAAATTTATTTGTTATCCTACAATATACATTCAGTGCCAGATTTCTTAATTTTTAATCTGATAATTAGCTTTGCAAACAGAGTTAAGAAATTTCGTGAGAGATTACAGGAAGAAATTTCATGGGGAAAAAAAGATATTTCACGAAATTTCATTCAATGAAATTTCTTTTAGCAACTCTGTTTGCAAAGGATGCTGTGCTGAAAAGCAAATCAGTCGATGAACAATTAAACATGTTTCAAGGTTTTGATTTTCTTCTCAACCTTCTTCTTCTTGGCAAACTGAGTTGCGGATAGGTTCTTATTAAACCTTTGACACCACCATTTTACATTGATAAAAAACACACCATCGCAGATCATTTTCAACGTGGCTTCAACATGGTCCTCATTCGGACAACCTTCCAGCCATGAAAAATCATACTGTTTGGTCATGATGGTTATGATGGTTTCCCTAATATTTCTGACATAGGGTCGTTTATTTAGGAAATCTTCCACAAAATGGAGGCAAGAACCAACACAAGTGCTTAATTTCTGTGTGGGATAAACTAAACTACGCTTTGACTTATTATACTCCTTTTGGCTGATCCAGGAGTGAGAGGCGCTGATAGGCCCTACATTATAATCAGTCTTTAACACTGGCTCACAATCTAAGCATTTAACTTTACTGAGGATAGATCTGGCTACGCTGCCTGCAATATATGCAACTGTGTCAGCCTCACCTCCACCTTTGAGAACAGCTGCTTCCATCTCTTTCTCTGTCTTGCCACCAATTGGGACTAAACTGTCTAGAACTTCGCTTACATTCTCAATTGGTTCAGCCTCAGCTTCTAGAAATGATCGCAAGTTCGTCAAAAGTTTGGCTTCATCAGCTTCACAGTTCATACCTTTAATATCTAAAAAGGCAAAGTTATTAATTATGATTGTTTTCAATGCAGCCGCAAATTGGGGGCAAGTCGGCCTACTGTTACCTCCGCAGTTAGCTCGAATGAGACCAAACAAGTTCTCAATCGGATCTTGGTTGAGACGCTTAGGATCTAAGTATAAAAATCCTACCTTTTTCAAATCTAACCATAAATACTTAATTGCTTTAAATGTAGTAATCCAGCCAGGTATGTGCGGAGGAGGAGCTTCTTTGCCAGTGTATTTCCAGGTTCTGACAAAGCGCATACTTTTTTCATAAAATGCAATGTGAGGGCTCTTTTCATCTATTCGTGTGCGCAGCACTTTCCCCTTATAGGGTATCATACCACGACCATTGACTGAATCGAACATGTCATCCACGCTCTTGGTGAAGTAGGCAGTGAAAATGGCACTTGGATCATCCTTTAAAACACCTGGAATGAAACAAATCAGAGCGAAACAAAGAGAATTAGAATTTCAGTCGGGTGCATCACGGACACATGCATAATGAAAGAAACTTGGCACATTTACATTTGAATCGATAATGAGGTGTTATTAGCAATTAGAATGTGACATTGCTCGTGCAACATAATCATCTATCAGATCAGAAACATTATCTAGGTATTAACAACTATGGAGCTCCCCGTAAAAAGGGCCCGTAGCGAAAAACAGCGTTTAAGAAAAATGCGTCTGAAATTTCCATAATTACTATCTGGTCACTGTCCGTTACTAATATCAGAGTTTTAATTTCAATTCCCGATATTACTTACCTTCAATGGCCAGAGACTAATCATGGAAACTTAAAATTCAATTTTCTCCAACACTATTTTTTGCTGCAGGCTCTTCTTCTGAAAAGCCCCTCAATTATATCAAAGATTCATTTAGAACTACGGTTGTAGCACGCACTTCTTGGAGAAACAGTTAACAGATTAGGAAAACTTTTTGGGTATTGAAAATGAGTATTGAAAATTCTGAAGCAAGATTTTTTCTTCCAATGCTTGTTGGGGNGGGGGGGGGGGGGCTGCTGACTGGCGCCCTACCTTGTTGCTTTCATGACTGTTCCTAAAGATGGAAAGAATAGCAATCTAATGAAACAAAAACTATATGAAACATTCCACAAAATATTTTTACTCCAGAAAGTTAGAAGGGATTTACTGAAAAAACGGATTCCCTGCTCTGAGTTTTGACACACTAAGGTGAATGACACAAAAAGATGGAAATGGGGT